TGTGTGTGTGTGTGTGTGTGTGTGTGTGCGATGCATCTTTTATCTTGACCTGTATTTGTTTCCATGTCACGTTGCATAATGTACACTTCGATTTCTCAGTACACAGTTGTTTGAGCTTTTGTTGCATTATCAACTTTACAGTTGCTGATCAGGCTGACATTGGTTCGTACCATCCAAGCTCAACCGGACAAAGTGCGGCCCAGTTTTCTTTTCAACATATTTAAAGTAAGTTATAAATTTCACTTTTTATTACTATTTCGAATTCCTATTCCCTCACTGTCTTTTTTAATCCTAAAATTTTCTCAAATTTATCGTAATATTCTTATACGTAAAATTTTTCTGTTAGTTTATTACAACCATCGTATTGATGAGATCCAGTTGTGGTAGCACTGATTTGAAATGTATGCGACTTAATGGACCGAAAAAATCCAAGGTTCAGGGCCCCTTTTTCTATTTCTTAATTATTTATCACTATAATTTATTAGTTTTTGACTTAGATTACTTTTTGGCTTAAATTTGTCTTTACTATCTATTACAATAATTCATTAGTTTTTTGCTTGTCTTAGATTTATTAATTGGCACTTTTTGAATTGTTACTGTAATTACCACTGTAATAAATTATTACTGTAATTTATGAATATTACTGTAATGGTTGAGTTATTACTGTAATTTTTTGAATTATTACTGTAGTTTTTTGAATTATTACTGTAGCTTTTTACTTTTTAACTTAGAATTTATTGGTTTTTTCTCATATTTTGACTGCTTAGAATGATTATTATAAATTATCATAATCTAATATTTGGAACTATCAGCGTTTGTATTTCATCGTGCCTTATCATTACCCAGTTCTTTGCCACCATCACACAGAAGTGAATTTTACTGATTTTCTGAAAGAATCGCAAACTCTTACTCAAAAATTTTTAGCGTTTTTAAAAAAAATTTCAGCGGTTTCACTTCGAAGATCAAAAATTTGAAAGAAAAAGTTCTACCTCAAAAATTAAAATTTTTTGAAATTTTTCACCGATTTTCGATGAGTTTGCAGGTGTAGTGCAAAAGGGAAATGCCTCAACGTGGGCCACCTGTGAAGCGAGTGAAAACGGGTGACGAGAATGAGGACGATGACAATGATCGCAGGAAACGTCTCATTGTTATTCTCGAGAAATGTTCACTGGAAAATGCCAAGGTTTGTAGGGTTTCTTTCCCCATCGCTGTACCCCGTACCTCCTCAGGCACAGGATTTTGTGGATTTTGCTCATATCTTAGCAAGCCGCATCTTTCGGTGTGCGTTTTGAGCGATTTTTGAGCCCGAAGGGGCTTTTCTGGGGCAGTTATGAATTATAGGTAAGTTGACTGCACTCTGATTCGATTTTCGATAAGTTCAAAAACTTCTCGTTGACAGATAAGTTCAAAAGCTTCTCGTCCAAAAGAAGGAATTTTTTAGTGAATAATTTTTCGATAACTTTTCTTTGATAATTCGTTTGAAAGAAAGGATTTTTTAGTTAATTTTTTTCATTTCTTAGTAAATTTCTACATTTTTTGACGCATATTTTGCTTATTTTCAGGTTGGTAAAGATTATGTAATTTTATCGAGTGATAAGCATGCGAATTTCATACGAAATCAGAAGAAAGATCCGGCTGATTTTCGGCCCGACATTTTGCATCAGGTATATTTGCTCCTGCTGCAATATTTTTAAATCTTCCTTATCAATACTATTATTCAGTGATATCTTAGACAGAATTGCTGTTACGCAAAGAAATGTAACCCGAAGGATGGGACATGTTGCTTGCCTTGCTGACAACTTACGGACTAATAAGTAACGACCATTAGAAGGCTGAATCATAAGTGGACGGCCCAAGCGGAGCAGCCGGAGATAAATAATTTGCGGCCCTTGGTAGGTCGAACCGTAATTTCTGAAATAAACGGCCAGTCCAAACCGTGAAAAATATGGAACGGCCGTAACCCATAAATTTTAATACAGGGTGGAAATAGTGAACAGATTATGAAGGGTGAGATAGTAGGGCTGTTAGTGTGGTACAAACTGTGTGACATGTTGAAAAGTAAGGAATAATATTCACTATGAGGTCGTGTATAGTGAGTGTTGACCTTTAAGAAGTAAACAACCATTCGGATGGCTTCCGAAGTAGCTCACATATATCGAACAAGCGATGGGTACTAACTGGAGGTATGCAGTTCAGGGCCGAAAGATCTGGCATAGCTACGCTTGACATATGGGAGCATTTCAGTGCTAATAATTGCTTAAGCGATTTTAAAGCTTTTGATAATAGCCGTTTGAAAGAAAAGGATTTTAACAAAATATAAATTACCAAATTACAAATTGAATACAAATTACCGAGATTACTAACATCGGTGAGATGGCAAAAAGGAGCAGTGCGCGAAGATTGATATCAAACTTGAACGGAAAAATTGCCTATATAAAAATTGAATAAAATATATCAAAAGCTATGGTTTTTTTCAGCCTTTTTGAGCGGCGCAATACTCCATTACAACATCACAGCACTCATCCACAAATACACTGTTTTCTTTTTATTTGATGTTAATGTTTACTTAATATGAATTGTTAATTTACTTATTAGGTTTGACCGAAATTAAAAACGTTATTCAAAGACTGAATATTAGCTAAAAAAATAATGAGGCACGTTAAAATATTAAAAAAAATTGGGGACTTGAGTAACAAAAACTGAGAACTTAAATATTAAAAATTGAAAAATTAATTTTAATTGGGATTAAGACATTTCGGTCCACTGTCTGCTTTCTTTTTTTCGTTATAAATTTTTGGTGGAGTTGCGCCATGCTTGGGTATTATAAATCCATGTGAGTGATACATCTTAATATATGTTCTCAAACTTTTTAGTATTTTTTTAATGTGACATCTTAATGCTTAGAGCTCGCTGCCTAGATTCTGTTTTTCATCTGACTGACAATTGGGCCAAAAATCGAGTCTGTTTTTACCCAAAGTAGAAGGGAAATTTTGATTTTCGACAAATTTTAACGGTTTTTTTTGAGCTGTATTTTTGCGTGATGTATGATTACCCGCCGGTAATGATTATTTTTGTGACGTCAAAAATCATGATTATCGTCGAATTCCCTCGTACGAGCAAATGCACCGAGAATTAGCCCGTACTTGCAGCAATCACCTGTTGGAAAAGCTTTCAGTGGCCCGTTCTTCCGAAAGTTATTTTCAAGCAAATATTGAAAATTAGTTGTTTCATGAAATTGAAAATAAAAGTAGCCATAAAAGTATTTTTAGCTATAAAAGCAGCTGTAAAGTAGTTTTTTTTTTTTATTTAAAAATAAAAGTAGCTTTTTTGCGAAAAAAAATATGCCATTGAAAAAGTAGCCATAAAAGTATTTTTTTGGTTGTAAAAGTAGCTTTTTTTAAAAAAAAAGTAGTTTTTCTCTGCAAAAAATAAGATTCTGTTGGAAATAACGTTTTTTTGGCGATTTTGCACCAAACGCAGCGCTGTTTTACACGTGTTGCAGTGTTTGTTGATGCTTCTGGATAGTCCTTTGAATCGCGCTGGCTTATTGCAAGTTTACATACATACTGCTAACAATGTGCTAATCGAAGTGAATCC